CCCTTCCCTGGCCTATATCTACAGCATTGAGCACTTTATGTCCCTTGACTCAGCGAAGTCTCTCCAGTCCTCCATCCTCTCCTCCCTCTCACCCCTCCTTCCTCAGTGTGCATCCCCACCCACCTCCAGACCTCTAGACAGGCAGTCTCCTCCACCATGGAGCCAAAAGTCAGACTTTGTGTCCTCCTGCCCCTCCCCCCCCCCCTAAGTTATTGCTGTCCCCACTGTGTGTGTGTTCATCCTCACCCTCATTGACTCAGGCCTGGTGCCAAGGGGCGGTGGGTGGGAACAGTCATGTTTTTTTCTCCTCTTTGATTTTGTTTTTCTGTCTCCCTTCCAACCTGCCCCCTTCCCCCCACCAAAAAAAGAAAAAGACAAACACAAATAAAATATCTGAGCGGAACTGTACCTTTGGCTCAGGCTGCCTCTGTCTGCTTTGTCCTGCCGCCTAGCCTCCCGGTACACCCCCATCTGGACCCTCGGCCTTCAGCTCCATGACCTCTTCACCCGTCTGCGTTATCTCAGCCCGTTTCACTCCTCAGCCTCATCTTCTCTGCCTTCGTAGCTTCATTGTACCACGACCACCACCAGCCCTGGGGCTTGGGCCCTGTGGAGCTTGCACAGAACTTCCTGGTCCCACCGTTCCCGTTTGTGGGTGCCTTCCCAGAAAGCCCTTAGGTTCCAGGTCCTTTGGTCTCATTCCCTGCCTTTTCTCCCAACCCATTCCCTACATGGCTTCATTCTGTTTGGGAGCAGAATTGCACTTCTGCATCAGGCCTCACCCCAGAGGGTGGGGACTGGGGCTGCAAACCCTCCACATAGAGGGGCTAGGCAGAGAGAGTGGGAGCCATGGAAATGGGATTGGTTGTGGGCTTGGGGTAGGAGCTGAGTGCGTGAGGGCTGGGCTGGAATGTGGTTCTGGTCAGGATGGCAGCTGCTGGCCTGTTGGACTTGTCAGGTCCTTTCTGGCCACCTCCTTTGCCCCTTTCCCATCTGTGGCCCGAAATGGGGCAGCCCCTTGTTATCCATTTCTCAGCTCAGTGCTTCTCCTTCCCTGTCTTCCTCCCTGAGGACCTGGGACTTCCTCCACTGTCCTTAGTTGTGTTGCTTTCTTCTATGGGTGTTTTGTGTGACTTGGTCCTCTCATTCATTCTGTGCACACTCTTATATTTACTCACATGCTTCTCTCTCTAGGTCATATTTTCTCCCTCTTTGCATGGTCAAAGCCTCTTTTGTCTCAGTACCTTAAAGATTCTCCATTCCCTGTCCATGAACTCTCAGTTCTTTCTTACGGGTGTTCCACCCAACTCTGTGGATGTGCTCTCTGGACCTGTCTTGTTTTCTCTGAATCCCTTGCCCATCAAGACCTTCCTGATCTCTCGACACAATCCCATCTCTCCATGTCTGTCTGTATACAGTTCCCCCCACCCCCTCTGTCTAACATGTTTTCTGTTTCTCTCCCTCTCCCTGTCTCTGCTTCTGTCTCCTCTCCTCTCTCTCTCTTCTCCCCCTTTCCCCTGGTTGTTCCTCCTCTTCTTCCTCTCCCCTGCCCCCATCTCCCCTTGATCCGTCCGCTGCATAGTCTAAGGAGCTGCAGATCAAGAAGCAGTTCCAGGAGACGTGTAAGATCCAGACTCGGCAGTACAAGGCTCTGCGGGCACACTTGCTGGAGACCACGCCCAAAGCTCAGCACAAGAGCCTCCTTAAACGGCTCAAGGAAGAACAGACCCGCAAGCTGGCGATCTTGGCTGAGCAGTATGACCAGTCCATCTCAGAGATGCTCAGCTCACAGGCGGTGAGGCCTGGGGTCCAGGGAGGGAGTGCAGTGGAGGTTGGCCTCTGTACTTCCAGCTTATTTATGGGCAGTGGAAGGGGGTGGTGTGGACAGAGCTAGGCTTTTTGTACTTGGGAAACTCAGACCCTCACTGTTAGTATTCTCTGCAGTGGTTTTATTATTTCTCTTAGTATCTCCTTAAGGTCTTAAGAAAGCCATCCTGCCTATTTTACCAAGAACCACCAGGGAAGAGTGGCTATAATTTTTCCTGAGCCTGAGTTAGTTTAATGTGTGACCAGGAAGCAGACTGAAATAAGTGTGGCCCTCAGGCTGGTTTACTCAGATTTCTGGAGGATATTGAAGGTTGCTGTTCTGAAACCTGATCACACACAACACTGGAGTGGGCCACTTCAAATGTGCACGTAGTGTAAAGAGTGAAAGTGCTCTATTTGAGGCCATTCTCTCACCCAGTCCCACCTCTGAGAGGTTACTCATTAATAATTAACTGTATTTTAGACTTTTTCCAATGTATAGTTGGAAAATTATATAAAATTTTAAAACACAAATGAAATCATACTTTACATACTGTTCTCTAACTTCCTTTTTCCACTTAATATTTCTTGGACATCTTTCCATGTCAGTACACATCTCTCTTTTTTTTACAGCATAGAATTTTCCGTGGTATGGCTGTACCATAATTTATTTAACCCATCCCTTATTGGTGGACATTTAGGTTGTTTCCAGTATTTTCGCTTCCGTGAACACCTCGAGCACATGTGCAAGTATACCTGGGGGATAGATTCCTGCAAGTGTAATTGCTGTGCCACAGGGTATGACCATCTTCCATTCTGATAGATGTTGAGACCGCTGCTTCTTGAAACCTTAGGGCCCAGACCCACCTGGGGCAGGGGAGGATGGGGGATAGGGGAGGAGGTCCCTAAAACTGGTTCTTCTGTTTTCTAGCTGCGGCTTGATGAGACCCAGGAGGCAGAGTTCCAGGCCCTTCGGCAGCAGCTTCAACAGGAGCTGGAGCTGCTTAATGCTTACCAGAGCAAGATCAAGATCCGCACAGAGAGTCAACACGAGAGGGAGCTGCGGGAGCTGGAGCAGAGAGTCGCTCTGAGGCGGGCCCTGCTAGAGCAGCGGGTAAGGGGCTCAGCCTCCAGGACAAGGTGGGGAGGGCAGGCTCCATGCCCCTGGACTCTCTAACTTCTGTTCTGGGTGCCCCAGGTGGAAGAAGAGCTGCTGGCCCTGCAGACAGGGCGCTCTGAGCGAATCCGGAGTTTGCTCGAGCGGCAGGCCCGTGAGATCGAGGCCTTTGATGCTGAGAGCATGAGGCTGGGCTTCTCCAGTATGGCTCTGGGGGGCATCCCAGCTGAGGCTGCTGCCCAGGGCTATCCCGCTCCCCCCCCTGCTCCTGCCTGGCCTTCCCGTCCTGTTCCCCGTTCAGGGGCACACTGGAGCCACGGCCCTCCTCCACCAGGCATGCCCCCTCCAGCCTGGCGTCAGCCATCTCTGCTGGCTCCCCCAGGTCCTCCCAACTGGCTGGGGCCCCCAACACAGAGTGGAACACCCCGTGGTGGAGCCCTGCTGCTGCTACGAAACAGCCCCCAGCCCCTGCGGCGGGCAGCCTCAGGGGGCAGTGGCAGCGAGAATGTGGTCCCACCTGCTGCCGCAGTGCCCGGGCCTCTGAGCCGCAGCACCAGTGTTGCTTCACACATCCTCAATGGGTCCTCCCACTTCTATTCCTGAAGTACAGGGTGGATGAGCAGATGAGTGGGGCATGGGCAGGTGGAGCCTGGTCCTGGAGGGCAGTATGCTTGAGGCCCACCCACGGGTAGGGAGCAGGATGCTGGCTCAAGCTCCCCTCAGACCTCCTCATTTCATGAGTTTCTTGGGGCTGGCCAGTGGCCCAGGGCCAGCTTGGGCATAGGTGCCTCAAAGCTGACCAGGAGCTCCTTCCTCCCCACCATGGTGCCAGGGTCTCCTTCCACCACTATCTGGGAAAGGAGGGAGATATGTGTGTCAAATATTCATCTGGTCCCCTGGGGGAGGGGAAGGGTGGGTCTAGATATATTATATTCAGAGAACTATACTACCCTCGCAGTGGGGCCATGGACTGGGGACCATAGGGCCCCCAGACCTGGGACGTGGCAGAGCAGGCAAGTCTGGGGTCTGAGGTGGGAGAATGGGAGAAGGCCTTTCTCAGAAGGAAGGATCAGGATGGAGTCTTGGGGTCAGGATGCCTGGGTCTCTCCATTCCCCTGTTGCTGTCCGACGTCCTGTGCCGTCTTGTCCTTTATCTTTTTTTTTTTAATTGGGATCAGGGCTGGGGCGGGGGAACAACGGAAGGACCTTGGAAGGGGCTGTTCCCAGGCTGGGCGCAGTCACAGGAGCCCCTCTCAGCTATGGCACTGGCACAGAGCCCCAGGGCAAGCTTTTAATAAACTGTTGGTTATTCTAACAGACCCCAGGACTCACCCTTTCTGTCAGAGGTGTGTGTGAAGAACTGTTCAGTAGCAAGAGAAAGTATTTTAAAAGAAAATCTGTTGAGCTGTGTAACTAAAAATTTCAGTGAATTTAATGACTTCAGGCATGACTGCGTGCAGGGCTTCAAAGGAAGTCACCAACCTCTTAACCTCTAATTCCTCTGCTTGCCTTTATTTTGGCTTCAAAGATTTTCAAAAGGTTCACTTCAGGCACAGATCCCTGGAAACTCCAAGCTTATGTCTCACTGGCAACCTCAAAAGCAAGAGTTCGAGCAGAATCCTGAAGTGACTTCATTGGTGCAATTGGTAGCCACGGACCTGGAGTGCTCTTGATTGTCAGGTCTAGGTCCTATACCCACCCCTTTAAGGCTGAAAGTCACCCCTGGACTAAGTGGCTGTTTCCAGAAGGAGAGGGAAGGAAGACAAACACCAGCTGTCCCTGAGCCATTTTGTGCTTCACATTCTTAAGGCAAGTTTTCAGATCCTCCTCCCAGCTGGACATTAGGTTATCAGGCCCAGCTCAAAGTGGGGTGGTCAGGGGCCCACTGGTCAGGTGGAGGAAGGACAGCAGCCTGATATGGCCTGGTGGCTGACTTTGGCTGGCAGGGTCTGGAAGCTGGGACTTCTTAGGGGAACTGAGGGAAATTAAAGAGAACCAGACACTGGTGGGGGTGGGGAGCAGAGTCTACTCTTTAGCTTCCTGGCTCAAAGAACAGGGGGTGAGAGTGGGGGACCAGTTTTGATGAGGTAATTATAAACCTTTATTGAGTCTTAAAAAATAAACCCCTGGAAACACCTGAAACAGAGAACATGAAACAGAAGTCGCATCCTAACACCTTATGTCCTTCGGGGCGGCAGCCTTCTCTGGAAAAGGCTGCTTCTGCTCTGCAGGGCAGGGAGTGCTATATATGCTTTGTAAAAGTGGAAAGGTCCTTCCTGGAGGCCTAGAGCTCAGTTACTCTCGCCGTCACTGCTGATGATGCCGCGCATGTGTGACCAGTCTGGGGGTGCCGGACGGGGCCTCTCTTCGTCTGAGTCCAGGGTCCGGCAGTATAACTCCCCAGAGGCTGCTTCTCCTAAGGGGTTCCAGGCTGTGCGTCTTCGTGGCCGACCTAGAGGGGGAGGGGGAAATGGGAGATTATTTGTCTGAGAAAACCCAAATCCATCTACTCCTGGGCAGTGAAAAGAAACCCCTTACCGGAACTGCTGATGATGTTGGCAACATCCAAGGAGGCCACCTCAGCCGCCTCCTCCCGCTGCTCCTTCAGGGCCCGACACTTCTCTAAGGAAGGGTTACCTGAGAGAGAACAAGCTCGTGATCCCCTTATCCCCAGCAGCCACTGCCCTCTCCTATACCTCCCCAGCACGTGCCCAGCCTCACCCTTCATGCCCAGGGCTTCTAGCTCTGCCCGGAGGACACTCAGGCGCTCCTTGTGTGAGCGACAGGAGCCCAGCAGTTTCTTGTAGTTTCGATGGGCACCACAGGCCCGAATGTAGCGCTTTAGCCTCATCACAGCTGGGTGGTCCTCTCCACGACGACCAGAGCCAGCCTAGCAAGGAAAGACAGCAGCTGAGGGCCACGCCCCTTGGGCTTGAGTCAGGGTCTTCCTCTTCCTTAACGGTGTTTCCAGCCCTATCTTCACCCTCACCTTCCCGCCTTTGGGCTCTGGACTTCCATCTGAGGAGGAAGAGGAGCTTCGTGTCCTGCCTTTCTTGGAACTCTTCTTGGAAGAGCGGTTCTTCCTCTCCCCGTTGGGGCTCTCTCCTGTGTCACTGTCACTCACCTCCCTCTCCAAGTCACTCTCCTCACCATTGATACTGCCCAGTGTGGCTATCTCTCTAATGCCTTTAGTGGTTAGTTTCCCCTTGCAGGTATCTTCTCCATCCTTGCTGCTTCCACTCTGCCTTCTCCCACTCTCACACTGGGTCCTGTCCTTGCTCTTCCTCTGCACTAAGGGCTCTTCATCTCCTTCACTGCTGTCCCCACTGCCTGCTGCCTCTTTTTCCTTCTCTTCCCCACTGTCTCCCCGGTCTCCCATTAGCCTTCCTTCCCGGCTTTTCTGCTTACAAGCTGAACTTTTCCCTCCATTGCTCCTGGCCCTGGGTTTCCAATCCTCCTCCTCCTCTCTGTTCTCGTTCTTCTTGGCTAAGATCCACTCTTCCTCATTCTCACTCTCTTTTTCACTTTCCTGGTGGCTTTTAGTGCCTTTATTTCCCTCCACCTTCTTTGCTGTTCTCTGGACAGGTTCTTTCTCACTGTCTTTACTTTCTTCTCTGGCCTGCTTCCTACTGGTTGAGGCCTTGCCTGATGCTTGCTTGTTCTTTGACATGGGTTTCTTCCTAGTCCTGCCCTTGTACTCCTTTCCCTCCTCCTCTTCCTTACTGCTCTCTTTCTTCCAGACCTTACTTGTTCTAACAGAACCCTCGCCGCCCTCCTCCTCCTCCCTGCTTTCCTTCTCTAATCCCATCTTTGCAGTCAAGTCACTCTGTTGTTCTTCATCGCTGCTGTCAAGTGCTTTCTTTGAGAATCGCCTTGGACTCGCCTCCTTGGCCGGGCTGACTTCTGCTGCTGCCATCCCGTTCTTTGCTGGGGGTTCACAGCAATCTGGACTGGAGGCAACAGAGCTGGAATCTGGAATACGAAAAGAGGGTTGGGACAGGTTCCTCCAGTCCCTTCTCCCTCCACTTGGGATATGCTATTTCTAACCCTGATCTGACAGAGAGAGGGAAGGGCAGCAGGAAACACAGTTATCAGACCACCCTGTTCCTGGTTCCTGACTCACTGGCCTCGCCCCTCATCTAATGCCTTGGGACACAGCACATGCACAATAAATACTTTTTGAATGAACAAAAGATTCATCCATTTTGCTCCATCTGCAAAGGAGTAACTAACCTGACTCCGAATTGAAGCGGAACCTTTTCGTCTCTGGATCACTGCAGGGGGTGAGAGGCCTCTTCGCCTTCTTGGTAAGGTCTATCTTCTCTTCCCTGGTACCGGCTTCATCCACCTGTGCATGGACCAGGAGAGCAAAACAGTACCAAGATTGTGTTCTGCCCCACTCCCTTTCAGGTCCCGCCGCCTCGACACAAAGCCCCGCCTCTCGTGGCCCAGGCTCATGCCCACACCTGCATCTTCAGCAGCTCCTCCTCCACCAGCCGCTTCAGCGCCTGCTTCTCCTCGGGTTCCAGGTGGTCGCGGCCCACGTGCGCCAAGAACCTCCGCCGCACGATGGAGTGCGTGAGGGTGCTGCGGAGACATGTGGTCAAGACGGAGTTTCGGCTCACCCCTTCCCTTTCCAACCCCAGTTCCAACCCCCTGTGCACCTGAGGTCCGGACAGCCTCGGAAGAAGCAACGGGTGAACTCCTGCATTTCGTTCTCCCGCGCCATTTTGCTCCACCCGGGATTGGTGGCTCCCTCCTTTTCTTCCTTCTCGGCCTCCTTCAGCACGGTTGACAGCAGCTTGCGCACGCGCAGTGTTGTGGCACCAGGAGGCGAGGTACCGTTTGTACTTTGGTCGCGGGCCTCCTGAACTGAGAACTTTGCCAAACAAAACTTTCTTAACCCGGGCAGTTGGAGGGTCTCGCGGCTCCAACCCTTCCTTAGAACGAATCGTTTTTAAAGTTTTCGTTAGAAACTGATTTGGCGCCACAACCTTTGGGTGTAACGTAATAAACCCGCGACGCCACCTTCCTCCGTGGTCACAGGCACCAGCTAGTCCGCTGTTACTTCGAAAGGCAGAAGAAAAAGGGCACCCTCGCCAGGAGACGAGGAATCTCTGGGGAAATCTTTTTGTAGCTTGAAATCTCGAAGCACATTAAGAATCAGAAACGGCGCCCTCCGGCGCCCGCCATCTTTGTGACGTCATCGCGTCGATGACACGCCCCCTTCGCGCAGCCCCTCGTAGCCTCGTTCCTTTCGCGGCATTCCCCAGGAGGGCGGCCCGTGGTTACGCTCCCTGGGCGCGCGGTACGCCGGGAGTTGTAGTCCTGGCGGGCGCAGCCTTGCAGAGTCCCCGGAAGTGGAGACGTGAGAGGCCGGGCTGAGCCGGCTCGGGGTAGCGGGACTCTCGACGCTGGGTTGCTGCTCCTGGGCTGGTCATGAACGGGCCGGCGGATGGCGAAGTGGACTACAAAAAGAAATACCGGAATCTGAAGCGGAAGCTCAAGTTTCTCATCTACGTAAGTGCTGGTGTGGGGAGATTGTAGGGGTTGAGGCCTGGAGTTGATAGGACCTCAGTTTACCCATGTGTAAAGGGGGTGGGGCGAGCTGTCGCCGGGTTACGGCGTCCTTTACGGATGGCCGTTGGCTCAGCGGCCACCTTGCCCGTGACACAGGAACACGAGTGTTTCCAGGAGGAGCTGAGGAAGGCGCAGAGGAAATTGCTGAAGGTGTCCCGGGACAAGAGGTGAGGCACATTGCGGGTGCGGGGCGGGGGGAAAATGTGGCCGCAAATGCATGGGCTCTTTCGAGAATCCAGCCGGCAAGCTAGGAGAGACAGGGGCCCGGGACAACATTGTTGTGATGGGAATAAACACTCGTTTTCCCCACCTCTTCCCTCAGTTTCCTCCTAGACCGGCTTCTGCAGTATGAGAACGTGGATGAAGACTCTTCTGGTGAGCGAAGTCATGAAAAATTGGTGGAGGACATGGGGCAAGCTTCTTGGGCCCCTTCTTTTAGGCTGCGGTGGCTGATGCAGCCGCCTGTGGTTCTCAAGCCTAGTTGCTTGCCCCCCGCCTCTACCATTCGTTCTTTGATTCAGCCGTACTGTTTCAGGTACTGTGCTTGGCACGGGAGATGTAGCGGTAGCAAAGATGGACAAAGCTCTGGGCCTCTTGTCATTTATATTCTAGTTGGGGTTGGGGGAGTGGAGATGAGTCAATGAAGAAATAAACTAGAATTTTAGAAAGCAGTAAGGATTTGAAGGGAATAAAAACAGAGTTATGTGGTAGTGATTGAACAGGGGATGACGAACTTTTTCTGCAAAAGGCAAGCTGGTAAATATTTTAGGCTTTGTGAAATATACAAGTCTTTAAGGCAGCTACTCAGTTCTGCTGTTGTAGTGTGAAGGCAGCCATAGCTGATATGTAAATAAATGTGTGGCTGTGTTTTGATAGAACTTTATTTATAGAAACTGATATTTGAATTTCATATAATCTTCACATGAAATATTGTTTTTCTTTAGTTTTTTTTTCCAACCACTTAAAAACGTAAAAGCCATCCTTAGCTTGCAGATCACTCAAAAGCAGGCAGCAGTCAGTGTCTGAGTAGAGGGTTCAAGAAAGGCTTTTTCAGGAAGTTGTGTTTGAGCTAGGAGTAGGTAAGAAGAAGAAACCAATCTTGTGAAGATATTAGCTAGAGCTTTCCGGGCAGGATAACAAATGCAGATACCCCAAGATAAGAACTCCACACTGAAGAGCAGAGGGTTAAAGCATGTAGAACACTGTTTTTCAAGCTTTTGGGGGGAGATTGTTTACAATTTACTATATATTTTGCATCATGATGGAAGTCCCCACATAGATCCTTACTTATAAAACAAAGTTTAGTGAAACAGTTTTAAGATCACTGTATGCAGTTTGTCCTAATCTGCTTTTTTTTTTTTTCTTTTAATGCTGGTTGCAAACCAATATTGATATCATGACACATTAATGGATTTAGACCCACAGTTTGAAAAAGCCCTAAGGTGGGCTTTTTTGGGCCTGTTCCAGGTTAGGACCCTCATAAGCCATGTCACATAGAATCACTTCTATCCACAGAGCCTTTAAACATTGGTCTAGGGCAGGGATCAGCAAACAGCAACCAGCGAAGCTGCTTGTTTTTATAAATGTTTTGTTAGAGTAGCACCCATTCATTTACTATTACAGGAAGATTATAGGAAGGTTAGAGAAGGAGGCAGGGGCCAGCTCATGTAAGTCATGGCAGAAAGTTTGGCTTTTATTCCAGCCTCTCATTCTCTGCCTCTCCCTTCCCTAAGGCCTTCCAGTTAACTTCTTGTTTGAGGGGAGCTTCAGGACAGGATGCCTGAGAGAACCCAGCATGTTCTTGGTCAGAGTGGGTTAAATCTGAGGAGCAAGAGCCAGAGATGTAAGCCACCACTTGTATCCTGGAGGAGCCCACAGTCTGGTCAGAGAGACACCCTCACATGACAACTCTCAGCACGGTGTGAGGAGAACCATGACAAGTGAGAGTAGAGGGCTCTGGGAGAGCCAGCAATTAACCAGGCTGAGGGATTCTAGAAAACTTCTCAGAGGAGGTGGCATTTAATTTACTTCTTAGAGTATCTGAGCAGAGAAATTGAGAACAGCATATATCCTGTGTAGTGATTGTTAAGTGAATGATGGGCCTTCTAGACAGAGGCACTAAACTAAGAAATAAAGTCTTTTGAAGAAATAGGTTGACACGATGTAAAGAATACAGTTTTGTTGGGAGACCGGAAAGGTAAATTGAGGCCAAATTAAGAAGCCCTATGAATGTGTACAGGCAGTGGGGACATCATCAGGAAGGATGTGATCAGGTTTATGTTTTAGGTCATTCTGGGGTTGGGGAGGACAGTGATTGGCAGAAAGTGTTGAGACTGCTTAGCAGGTGATTTTGACATGGTGGTGGTCTGACCTCTTGGCATTTGGAATGGGGAGCAGTGGATAGAAGTAGAAGAGATTTGAGGGGTATAGTAACAGGACTCTGGATGTGGGGAGTGGAGCAAAGATAGGAGCTGAAGGCAGCTTAGAGTCAAATAAGGAGAGAGTGGCGTAAAATGGTCAAGGAATCACAGACCTGAGTGCAAGTCCCAGGCCCACATCTTACTTCCTAAGCCTCAGCGATCTCATCTGGTAAGTGTAGGGGATGGGCCTGCCTTCTTTGGAGGTTTATGAAGACAAGAAAGGTGTTGAGTGTTGAGGTTCCTGGCACATAGTACGTGCTTGGCACACGCGTTATGGAGGAGCCAGAGCAGGAAGTAGTTTGTGGCAGCTGAAGAAGTTGTGGGCCTCCCCAACAGCACGTGTGTGTGCGCTAGCTGGGGAGTCAGATTCCCCTGGAGCCCTTCTGTAGTGTTGGGGTTATATCTGTCTGGGGTAGACTGCGACCCCCCAACCCCCACTGACCAGCCCTCCGCCCTCACAGACTCAGATGCCACAGCATCTTCAGATAACAGCGAGACAGAGGGGACACCCAAGTTGTCGGACACTCCGGCCCCCAAGAGGTGAGAAGAAACCATCATTCCTCTCTCTGGGGGAGGGGAGGGGTGGGCACCTGGGCCTCCTAGCTTCTGACCCCCTCCCTTCTTTCTCCAGGAAGAGAAGCCCTCCGCTAGGGGGTGCCCCCTCCCCCTCCAGCCTCTCCTTGCCTCCTTCAACAGGGTTTCCCCTTCAGGCCTCCGGGACCCCCTCCCCATACCTGAGCTCGGTGAGTTGGGGTCAAGGTGGGAAGTGTGAACTAAGATGCCTGGGATAAGGTGGGCACCATTTGGGCAAATGGGTGAGCCTCAGGGTGAGGCCAGCCCAACTCTGGGGACATCTGTCTGGGTATGGACAGCCTGCATCCCTTGGAGGGTGTGAGTTGGGGCTGCCCACTTCTTTCTGGTGTAGGAATAGGGGGCAGACCTGACTGAGGAGAGCAGACCTCAGGACACAGTCCTGCTGCTATCCCATCCCCTTCTGTTCTCAGGAGCCCTGGGAGCCACACTCATCACCATCTCTTTTGTTTTTCCATTTTTCTCCTGTTTGCATTTCTTCCCTTCACCCCTCACCCTGATCCACTCCATTTCCCATCTCCATCCCCCACTCCCACGTGCAGCTGGCTTCCCCCCCTTACCCCCCATTCCCTTCTGACTACCTGGCCCTGCAGCTGCCCGAGCCCAGCCCCCTGAGGCCCAAGCGGGAGAAACGGCCCCGCCTGCCCCGGAAACTCAAGGTACCCTGATTTGGGGATGATAGGGAGGGGCCAGAACGGCAGGAGGACAGCCGTCTGCGGGAAGCTCAAGGCAGGCTGGGGGCCCAGCCCGGAGTGAGGCACTGAGGGTGGATCTTAGAAGCTCGGCCTCATTGTGGAGACAGGTCAGGGGTAGAAGCAGCTTTGGGGGACTCAGAATAAAGATGCCTGGGGTTCTGCCCTTATGCGCTGCAGTGTGGCCAGGGACGAGGCTCACTTTCACAGGTGGTGAGTGTTCTGTGATGCCAGGCAGCCCCAGAGGAGGGGCATGATTGTGGGATCTGGAATCAAGGCTGCCCCAATTAAAAACCATGTGACCTTGAGCGGTCTCTACCTTGTAGGTCTAAATTCTGCATCTATAAAGTGAGTGATTAAACTAGATGTAATTGGCAAGTGTTTATGGAGCACCTACTATGTACCAGCACTGTTCTAGGTGCTGCAGATACAGTAGTAAACAAAACAGACAAAAATCTCTGCCCCCATGGAGCTCACAGTCTAGCAAGACAAGCAAGAAAATAAAGAATAGGTACCAGTGGAGAAAAATGGAGTCAGGTAATGGGAGTGGGGAGCACCAGGGTGGATGGGGCTGGTATTAAGGCTGAGTGGTCTGGGATGTTATTCAATCAGAGACTTAAAGGAACTGAGAGCAGGCCATGTGACTCTCTGGGAAAGTGTTTTGGTCATGGGAATGACCAGTGCAAAGACCCTGGGGAGGGTGTGTGCCTGGCTTGTTCACAGACCTGGAAGGAGGCCAGTGTGGCGGGAGGAAAGTGAGAGGGGAGAGTGATCAGAGAGCAGGTCAGAGATGGACATAACTGAGGGGCAAGATTGGGTCAGGCCGCAGAGGTATTGGAAAGAATGACTTGTACTGTGAATGAAACAGGAGCTACTGGAGAAGCTTGAGCAGAACGGGAATCTGATGTACTTTACATTTTAACAAAATTGCTGTCACTGCTTTGTGGAGAATAACCTGGGTCGGGGTGAGTCAGGGTGGAAGTGACGAGGCTACTGCAGCAGCTGTGGAGAGGGTGGAAAGTGGACCAGGGGTTTCCTGGAAGACCAGGTATGGGCTGTGAGAAAGGAGTCAAGGGAGGACTGCAGGGTTTTTAGCCTGAGCAGCTGAGGAAGCAGAGTTGCTTTTTTCTGAGATGGGCAGGACTGTAGGAGGAGGAGCAGGTTTTGGAGGGAAGATGAGTTTGGTCTTGGACACATTGAGATGCTATCTGGAAATGCCATCTAGACAACTGAATATGTGAGCTGGGGTTCACGGGGTGGTTGGCATGGAGGGGGATGGAGAAGAGCAGAGGGCCGAGCACTGAGCCCTGGGAGAGGTGATAGGAGCCTGCCAAGGATGCAGAAAGGCCCCGTGCCCTTCCAACACTGGACCAAAGCTGAACAGAGACTGGGCTGGACAGTCATCAAGGTTCTAGAGCCAGAAGCAAAATGGAAGGTCACATTCGTGGCAGTTAGTGCAGGCTCAACTCCCAGCTCTGCCATTTACTGTCCCTGTGACCTTATCCCTGTGTGACTTAACCTCTTGAGCCTGAGAAATAGGGGTGATGACACTGGCCCTCACTCTGCTTAGGCAGGTTTTGCTTCTGTCCTGTAGGGCAGGGTTGTAAAGAAGGCAAGAGTAGGTGGAGGCTGGAGCAGGTGGTTGGAGGCACTTGGCTTTCTGGTTGGTGCTGTGTCCTGAAGTAGAGTTGAGTTCTGGACATACAGGAGAGAAGATGTTGGTTGGGAGAGGGGCCCAAGTCAATTGCTGGGCGAGGGGGGGGGGGAAGCGGGGGGGGCGAATCAGGAAAGGTCTCAAAGAAGAGTGAACATTTGAGCCAGGGTAAGTGAGATTTGGATATTCCCGGGCGAGGCAATAGTGGGAAGGGGGACAGGGACACTGTGTAAGTGTCGTTTGGGTTGAAGTGGGTGTGGTCAGAGAGGACAACATTGGAAAGAAAAAGATAGTGAATGGAATTATACAAGGCCTGGATGCCCAGAATCAAGAGTTTGCTTGTTACTGAGAAGGGAACAGGAGTCCCTGCAGTTTCTGGGTGGCTTGGTGCGAGGAGATGGGAAGTGTGAAGCCTGAGCAGAAGTGGGACAGCTGTAAAGACTGAAGCAGGCTGGTTAAGGGTTTGGGCCTTAGACTTAACCGGGTCTGACTCTTCTGTGGACAGTTATGCACCACATAAGGACATCTCAGTCCACAACGGACCATGCGTGTAGTGGTCCCCTAAGATTGTAATAGCAGTGCCATACAGCCTGGGTGGGTTGTAGACCATACCACCTAAGTCTGTGCAAGTTCACTTCACGATATTCCCACAACCTCACTATCACTTAACGATGCATTTCTCAGAGCATATCACTGTCATTAAGTGACGCATGACTGTACTCACCATGTGACCTTGGGCATGTCATTGAACTCTCTGAGTCTTGGCTTTCTTTGTTCAATGAGGTCATTGTGAGGGAAAAAATGAGCCTACTGCTTGGTCCCTGGTAAGCCACAGATAAACATTAGCTGCTATTGGTCATGCTGAGGAGGCCATTGAATAAGTCCAGGCAAGGATAGGACATGGGGAATAGGGTAAGGATCAAGAGGGGACAGTCCTCATGCGGCTGTCCTTTTCAGTCGTGCATGTGCATCTGCTCCTGTGTGTACATGGGGGTGCCTGGTACTGGGTGCAAGGGCACTGTTCCGAGTTGCGCCTCCTGTCTGTCATCAGTTCTGACAGACTCCTGTACCCTGAGGCCTGGCCCTCTCTGGACCCCACGCCACTCCAAGAACAGAGGTGAGGGTGGAGGCTCTTTGAGGAGCAGAGAGTAGACCATGTGCTGAATGTGTTAAAGCAGTCAGGAGGGCTACTGTGAAGATCACATGTGAGCGTTTCCTGCCACCCCCAGCCCAGGGCCAGATTGGACACTGCCCAGTGGGGACTTGGCAGGCCTTGTCCTTAAAACCTCCATTTCCTGGTCTCAGTTTCCTCCTCTGGCAGATGACCTCTCCTTCCTCCCAGGGTGGTCCTAAAAGTTGGAGATCATTAAAAAAATTACCCAGCACATAGTAGGTCCTCAGTTTGTGCCCACAGGCAAAGCATGAGGGCTGTTGCTGAGACCCAGAGAGCTCTCTGTGGAGAGGATTTGTGAGGACCTGGTAGGGTGGGGCTGGAGGGTTGGGCAGGATGGAGGCCTCTTCCTAGCCTTGGAGGACAAAGCAGGACTCTTGACAAATAGAGAAGGACCCTGCAGGTGGCATTGTCAGGCACGCTGCACTGCCTGTCTATAGGGCAGCAAGGAGCCTGAGGGCCCTCGAGTGGGGGAATGACATACTCAGGTTTGTGTTTTAGAGAGATCACTCTGGCTGCAGTGTGGAGGAGGAGCTGGATCTGGGAGAGGCTGAAGGCAGGGAGTCCAGTTAGGAGGCTGGTACCATAGCACAGGTGAGCTGAGAGGAGGGCCTGCCTAGGCCAGTGGCTGCGGGGATCCCAAGGAGGGGCCCGTCCAATGTACAGTAGAAGCTGCCCAGGCTCCTGGCTTGGGGCCTATGATATATTCTACCGAAGCAGTGAGTCCCACAGGAGGAGGAGGGAGAGGAGGCTAGCGGTGGTACATGGTACCTGAGGGGTCCAGAGGCAGGCAGGCAGGTACCCCAGGCTGACACTGACCCTGGCTTTAACTGCTGCTAAAGTGCAGCCAAGGTGCCTCCCTGGAGGACAGAGCCTAGCCTTTCCCTCCCAGTTTCCTATCAGACACCCCCACCCTTCCCCCATCACACCACCATCACCACCCTCACCCCCAGGCACTTGCTGGCTTGAGACTGTGAGGGGCTGAAGTGGGGCAGGTCCCCCAATTCCAGCATCACTGGCCTGGCTGTGTCCACTGCCCCTTGAGTGAGCCTTTGCTCTTCCCCACCCTCTAGAACTGCCTTAAGCAGGCAGTGCCCTGCTTCCTGGAGGTCCCACTGCCTCCCTGACAAGCCCTCTCTGTGTTTCTTACCCCTGCTGCAGATGGCGGTGGGACCCCCCGACTGCCCTGTGGGAGGGCCGCTGACCTTCCCTGGCCGGGGTTCTGGGGCTGGGGTCGGGGCAGCTCTGACCCCCTTGCCACCTCCCAAGATGCCCCCCCACACGATCCTGAGCACCGTCCCTCAGCAGATGTTCAGCGATGCAGGCAGCGGGGATGATGCCCTGGACGGGGATGATGACCTGGTGATCGATATCCCGGAGTGAAAGCCCACTGCTGTCTGCGACCCTGCCCAGCACCCCTCCCCATGCTTACACACGTGAGCCCCAGCTTCCTCAGAGATGTTTATTGACGCCCAGTTACCATGCTTCGGCCACTGACACAATCAGAAAAGGCGTAAACATGCACAAATGTCCCCAGGAAGGTGGCAGGGGCCGGCCCTCACATCCTGGCCCCATCCAGGGGACAGTTATTTAAATGAGTGGCCAGGAGTATCTGCCACCTCTTGGGGAGGCAGAGACCCTGCGGTGGCCACCCCTTTAAAAGGGCAGCTGTATAGGGCTAGGATTTCTTTTAATGAAGATTCTGTATTAAAGGAGTGGCTCTTTTTTTTGTCCTTTTCTTTTTTGGAAACATTCTCCTCCTCTGAACCTCCCCTAATCCGACCTCCTCCCTGTGTGGGAGGGGACGGGCAGCCTGGAGAGGCAGGAGAGAGGAGCAGCGCTGGGGTGGCTCTGGCAGCACTCGCCTGGGTGTGCAGAGGACTGGCACTTGCATATTTGTGTGGAGTAGCGAGTCAGGCAGGAGGAAGTTTGCATATGTGAATATAGATCTCCATGGTCCCTCACAAGAAGACAGACCCACAGGCACGAAGACTCTCACAAAAGTAAGACAGGTAGTGCGGGGTGGGGGCCTCCCACCCTGTGTAAACGTGCAACACAGTCGTGCTAAGGTTAGGTACTGGACCCAGCCCAAGGGGCCTGGTTGGGTGGCTGCTGCGGGCTCAGGCCAAGGGGAGAGCCCCGGCTGCTGGGGGCAGCTCGCTAGTCAGGGTGTGCCAGCGCTCCAGGGCTGTATCCGGCTGCTGCAGACAGTCACTCCAGTGCTTCCGGGCCTCTCCACGGGCTCCAGACCCCAGGGACACACCACCTGGGGAGCAGGCAGAGGCAGGCAAAATCAGGGCCTCTTCCTGCTGGGTCTGCCCTCCCTTAGCGCCGCCCCACTGGGCTCTCCCCTCACCGATGAAGTCGTTGGATTTGCCAATGTCATAGTCCCAGACTGTAACTTCTAGAGTCTTGGTAGCCAGGGTGGAGAGCTCCATCTCATAGAAGAACTCCTGGAGACAAGGCAGGGGATGCCTTCTGTGAGATCCTCTCCATCCCCCGCTCCTCCCCCTCCACCAGCCCACCTCAATTTCTGGTGCCTGCCCCATTTACCTCATTAAATTCTGGGTTTAGAGTCTTCTTCTTCACACATGTTTTATGCTTCGATTTCTTATCCACGTCCGGTCTCAGGTACCTGGGGTAGGAGGATGGGGAGCATTATGGTTAGGGACAGGCCAGGCCCCAAAGGAATATGGGTCAGGGATCAAGCTCCGTGGGGAGGACAGAGTGGACCTCAGGGCCCGGGCTCACGTCTTAACGTAGGGGTCAGAGTAGCCGTTGACATCCATGGCAGCCAGGTGGGCACAGCGAATGATGCCCACCAGCAGCCCCTGGCGCCGAGAGCTGTAGCTGAGGCTCAGCAGGATGCGCCCACGCTCTTCCAGCAGCCCAGGCCCCTGCTCCACCTGCTCTAGCTGCCAGGGACAGATGCAGGGGTCAGCCTGGGTCCTCCGCCAGATCCCACCCAGATATGGTCCCTGTGAGGTGGCTCACCTCCTTCAGGTAACAGGAGATGCCCCTCAGCGCCGCCGACATGGAAGAGGGTGAAGCCAGCTGAGGGGGCAAAGAGAAGGTTCTGGAAACCTGGCCTCCCCAGGGCCCCCTCCCCCTGGTGCCCATGAATCCCTGCACAGACCGGGACCTGGCGCTCCAGGCAGATGTTAAAATGCTTCTTCTGTGAAGGCTTGAGGCGGCGGAGGGGCACTCGGATCTCCCCAATAAACTCATTGTGGCTCAGCTTGTCCTCATCACAGACAGCGATCCTGGTGGGGAACTGCAGTGTCAGGGTCCCCTGGGATATCTGAGCCCCGCTCCAGTGTGGAAAAAGGTTGTCAGACCAGCCCCAGCCCTGCCCTCAATGCTCAATGCTCTCTACCTCACCTGTAACAGGGGCTGGAGCCCGGTGGGGACAATGGATTTGCCCTGTTTCTCTGCCCCTCCATCCCCAGCTTTCCAGGCTGTCCCTGGGCCACCAGGACCTGCTCAGCTACTGCAGGAAGTCCTCATAAGTCTTGGAGACCACCTCCCTTGGTGCTTCTGTTCAGGGCCTGGGGACAGGACCCAACTGAACAGAACAGGGCATGCATTGGCAGATGTGGCCACAGATCCAGGCTGTAAGAGCTAGAAGGGCCTTGAGGGGTCTTGGGCAGCCAGACAAGGACCCCACACCTCCTCGAGCCCTCCTGTCCTTTTTTGCATGGGGTAGGGGGCCAGCCTGGCTGAGACCCATGAGTCCAGCAATCAAATGATTGTTTTTACTCCCAGCCAACCCCTCCTGCAGGCCCTGCACTGCTGCTGCTGTGACCAGCAGTTATGTGGAGCAGCTGTAGGGGGATCTAAACTCCAGTGCTGCCACTTACTAGTCACCTGTGTGGCCTTGAGCAAGTGACATAACCTCCCTAAGCCTCAATTCCCTGTTGTAAAATGGAGGTAATGATTACCCACCTCTGAAAGCTATCATGAGGGTCAAAGTGAAATAAAGAAAAATAAAAATGCTTAGCCCAGGGCTGGGCACAGTTATCTTTAGGTCTTATTCTTTTTTTTTTTTTTTAATTTTTTTTTTTTTAAAAGATGACCGGTAAGGGGATCTCAACCCTTGACTTGGTGTTGTCAGCACCACGCTCAGCCAGTGAGCCAACCGGCCATCCCTATATGGGATCCGAACCTGTGGCCTTGGTGTTATCAGCACCGCACTCTACCGAGTGAGCCACGGGCCGGCCCAGGTCTTATTCTTTTGCACCTGGAATATTGGGCCAACCTCTCTAGTTTCTGCCTCTGTCCTCCCTCCAGTCTCCCCCGCATCCAATGCCAAGGTGATCTCTCTAAAACACATCCCTGACCATGCCCTTCCCTCATGCAAACCCCTCCGTAGCTCCCGATAGCCCCGGAACAAAGGAAGAGGTCCCTCCTGAGCCTGGGCTTTGCTGCCCTCCGCTCCCCTGGAAGGCTCCTCTCCCCACATTTCCACTTCCTGGGATGATGGGGTAAGTTCCCTGTCCCTGAACACTTCACTCCTGAGAGATTTTAAGGGAACAGAAGGGGCAGACCTAAGCAGTATAGGTCTGACTAAAGTCAGGCTCTGAGAAGGGGTCTCAGCTAGCAGGAAAAGCTTTCAGGAGGGGCAGCACTTGGACTGAGCTCCACATGAGTGGGATTTAGGTGGGCAGAGAGGAAGCAGGGTGGCCTCTCCAGGTGAATTAAGCACAACAGGCAAAGGTCAGCAGTTAGGAAGAAGGGAGTCCCCTGTTTGAGGGGTACTTGCTGATGTTTTGGGGGCAGGAATGCCAGGGAAATATTTTGTCCTGCTGCTGAAGGGGATGGCAAGGTACTGATTGTTCTTGAGCATCAGAGGGGTAGAGGCTTAATGGGACGTGGAGAGATCAACCAACCAAAGAAGGTTACAGTGACAGCTGTCCCAGAGGAGGTGCTGGGCTGGGATCCGTGACAGCAGGGAGGATGAGCCCTCACCTGAGCACCTTGTGAGTGATGTCATCATCTGTGATTCCGCTGTACATCAGGTCCTCATTCCACACGGGATTCAGTGTGTTCCTCTGAGTCTTAGTTTTTAGCTTATTGGCCTGGGGTGTGGGGATGAAGGTTCTGAATACATGTCCTCCAGCCCCACAGACGCTGAAGGTGGGGGCTGGGGGATTCTAGGACAGAACCCCAAGCTGAGGCCAGGCTGGGGGTGGGGGGGCGGTGGTCAGGAGGCTGTTACCTTGCAGGCTCCAGGCAACAGGTGCAGCTTGACGTAAGGGTCGGCGAGGCCATTGAAATCCATGGGCTTGAGGCCCTGGAGAGGAGAGCAGGGAAGAGGGCTGTGGGCTCCCAGCCCCTCTCTCCTGCAGAGCTGAGATGTGGAGAGCCCAGAAGGAAGGTGGCAGGGAGCAGGGAGAGGAGCTGGGGTCCAAGGGAAGGAGGGATGGAAACCCCGCCCCCCCCCCCCCCCCCCCC